AACCAGGAGGCAAGTGAAAAAGAAAATAATTCAAGGATACACAGCACACTGCTTTCTCCCCTCCCCCACTTTCTTAGTATTATGCTTTTAACATTTGAGTTATCACCTATCAAGACTTTCCTTTCAAAAACAAGTGTTGGAGCCACTTTGGTAGGTACGGAAAGGAAGGAGAAATAAACTTGAGGCTGACTGTGGTGACAGAATAGTTAACCGGTTAGATCCAGAAGCTATTACTCCTGATGTTGCGGTATGTATTTTCACTTTTATATGAACTTCTGGCCCTGAGTTATTTTTGTCTGATGTCAAGTTGAACACCTGCTGCCAGAATAAAGGCAAGAATCAAGGCAGGTTCGTATTTCTATATTTGAAATTCACCTATAGATCTCAGGTTCTATTTGGCATATACACATACTTCTCCCCGCTTGGATAAAATAAGGAAATGTGATGCCTGTGGGGATTTAGGGGACAGGAGTTGGCGAAGACCTGATAAGGAAATGGAAAACAGCTCCATAGGAGGCCTGAGTGAAGCTCCAGGTTTGGCTTCAGGTGACGCGTGTTTTCAGTCTTAAGAGTTCCTGCTTGAGCTTATTGTTCCCAGGAAGTTCTCAATTAGTATTTACTAACTGGTTAATACCTCAGAAAAGAACAGGCATTCTAGGAAAAAAGAAAAGCATCTTTATTTTCTGTTGAACACTCTCTTTTTATATAATAGGTCCATTTTATGTTATTACTTTTTAAATTTTTTTTTAATGTTTTTATTTATTTCTAGGAGAGAGAGAGAGAGACAGCGTGAGCAGGGGAGGGTCAGAGAGAGAGGGGGTCACAGACTGAAACAGGCTCCAGGCTCTGAGCTGGCAGTCAGCACAGAGCCCGACGCGGGGCTCGAACCCACAAACCGCGAGATCATGACCCAAGCGAAAGTCGGACGTTTAACCGACTAAGCCACCCAGGCGCCCCTATGTTATTACTTTTTAAATATTAGAGACAGAGAGAGGGAAGGGAGGGCACAGAGAGAGGAAGAGAGAGAATCCCAAGTGGGCTCAGTGCAGAGCCGGATGCAGGGCTAGATCCCACAAACCATGAGATCATGACCTCAGCCAAAATCAAGAGTCAGACGCTTAAGTCAGACCTGGGCCACCCAGGTGCCCCAATAGGTCCATTTTAAATACTCTTTTTTTTCTTCCAATCCTGTACTCACCAATTCCATCAAAACTGATCCTATAATGACTGCAAACGGGAATGGAATAGCAAGGATGTATACCTTTACATGATGGATAATAAAAACTCAGTATCTCTGCTTTTTTAATTTTTAATTTATTAAGAAAATATTAATGGTTATATATTTTTGAGAGAAGGGGAGAGAGAGAGAGAGAAAGACACAGAGCATGAGTGGGGGAGGGGCAGAGAGAGGGAAACACAGAATCCAAAGCAGGCTCCAGGCTGCTAGCTATCAGCTCAGAGCCTGAAGGGGGGGGTTCGAACTCACAGACCATGAGATCACGACCTAAGCCAAAGTCACACACTTAATCAGCTGAGCCACCCAGGCACCCCATCTCTGCTTTTTAAATCAACCTATAGACGAATACAGATCTATTTAATTCAACTGAAATAAAATCCTTCATGGAACAGAACGCTAAATATGGCACAGCCCTTGGCAGCTTCCGACATGAGAAAGGAAGAGGGAAACAGACAAGTGGATGTCAAAATTGAAGATGGAAATGAAAATGCTGGCAGCTTTGCGCCAGCGCCAGGTGGTTGGCAGATGTGACTGTGTCGCCACCTGGGGGCATGAATCACCGCCGAAGGAAGTCTCCTCATCCCCTCCATCTGTCAAGGCAAGTTGGCAGTGCAGCTGGCGCCTGTGCGAGGCCAGGGGGCACACAGAGGCCGAGCTGCACCGGCATCTATTCTGCATCTCCTCCTGCTTCCACTGTTGCCACTGCTCAAAAACTGAAGATCTAGAAGGCTTCTGGACTCAGTACGTATTCTATGTTTGGCAATGATCGCAATACTAATAAAAGTGGAGATGGGGAGGGTAGACAAGTCAGCAACACTAAGAAGTGATAACAGATACCTGTATTGTCCCTTAGGACACTATTTTGCCCGCTTGCCTTGTAATATCCATAATCACAGGCTCTCCCATGGAGATACGCCTTCATTAATCAAGGCCAAAGACAGCGTAAGTGTATAAGTCCCCGGGTAATTAACAGTGCCCTCTTAGAGATATCCCTAGGGTAAAAACTTGTAGGGGACTGGCAGGGGACTGGCAGTGACTCAGAAAGCAGCACGTGGTAGGGAAAAGAAAGGTAGCTTAGCCACATAATTTAAGCGTGTTGATGCCTTCCTTCTCCTATATAAATCTTATCACCATGGCTGAGATAGAGCTATAGCTATTTTACTGGCTCTTTGTGACTCATCTTGGTATATTTTACCTGCTTAAAAATATTTTCTGTTGGGTGGTCAGAGGTAAAGAGGGAAGACACCAGTCTCTTTCTAGGTCCAAGTCTGGCTTAGCCCATTCCCTCGAGGACAAGGCAGTCCCAGGTGAGGGCTCAACAGGCGAGGCGCCATGATAACCTCCCATCTGGGCAATCCAAGCCATTAGAAAGGATCCTTGTCTTCTGGGTCCTCCTCCTGGAGGAAGGAGCTGTCCAGGTCTGATCTGAAAACGCAACCATGTGAAACCAGAGTAGCCCAAAAATGGGGCTGCAGACTGGAGATGGGCTCCAGCTTTCTTATGCTAAAAACAGTGGGACTTTGTAGTTTACCTTTCCAGGGAGCATTCATCCTCTTGGTTGGTTGGACTGTCAGTTCACACACTTGGGGATTTTATTCCTACAGCTCCCCATCTATTACTAGGCACAATGAGTTTAACTGTTAGATTCAGAAATAGCTCTGACAAATTTGCTTTATGCCAAGTCTGTATGGGGCAAATGACAGAAATAGTCACACAATTACATGGCGGTGCTCATTGCCGACAGCTTCTGTACTCAGCTAGCTGACACCACAGAGATAAGGGCTGCTGCTGGTATCAGGAAAGCTCAGCATTTTTTTCTACTGGTTGATACCCAGTGACCTGTGAGCAAGCAAACAGAAGAAACCTTTTCCAAACAGAGTGCTACTCAGAGGGAGCTAGCAAAGTGGTAGAGGACTGGGATGAAAGACCTGACAGCAGGCTCTCACTGAGCAAACATCAGCAAACTTAGTGTGGCCCAGAATTGAGCATACAGCAGACGTAAGCTGAATGGCAGATCAAATGTGTTCATGGTTTCAGCCAGACTTTTGCCCACTGTCTTCTACATGACCCCAACAGCTGAGAAGCCTTGGGTTCACATGGAAAGATAGGTGCTCCAGATCTGGACAAGAGTTAACTTAAGTCTTAATGACAGTATAACACAGGATATGTTACTTCATTATTCATGACCTCGGTTTCCATATCTGCTGAACAAAGAGAATAATGTCAATATTCTGAAAGATGCTGAGAGAATTCTGTTTAAAAAGACAATGCAAGTAGGGGCACCTGGGTGGCTGGATCTGTTAAGCATTGAACTCTTGATAGTGGCTCAGGTCACGATCTCATGGTTCATGAGACTGAGTGCCATGCTGAGCTCCAAGCTGAGTGTGGGATCTGCTTGGGATTCTCTCTCTCTCTCTGTTTGCTCATGCTTTCTCTCTCAAAATAAATAAACTGTAAAAATAAATAAATAGAAGGACAATGCAATTAAAATGCGTAGGATGGATCGATCACGGAAGACGATCACTAAGATGGAATGGTTATTGGAGTGATGCTTAACCACGTCACTCACAGTTACCCGAATAAGGTAATGGCGGTAACAGACATATACGATGCTTCAGGTTGCATTCATGCTGTTTTGCCCTTCAACCTTAAATGAACTTTAAATAAGAGACCCTGCACAGATAGGAGAACACTCTTAATTTCACTAGTGTAATTCCAATAAATCTTTGGTCGGGAAATATTGCAGTACCTGAAAAAAAAAAAAAGTCACAGGAAAGCCTAAAGTGAGTCACAAAATAGAACTAAAATGCACTTATATGAATTTTAGTGCAGTATGTGTGTATGTAATTAAGTTTAGATGAGATCTCTGCATTTCCTTGTTTCATCAGTAGAATTCCATGAGTATTACAGAGAATGCCACTGCATCACTGGGTAGTTGCCTCATGACTCGGGCTGTTTTTCAGTTGTCTCAGTTAAACAGATGAGCAGACCTTGATTTCTTTTCTTCATTAATGAAATCATTAACAATTATTAGTTTGCAGTAACTCTTCCCAAATGACCATCTTTACTGCATGTTAATCTATTGACTGCTTAGGAAAATAAAACCCGCTAAAAGAGCTAAGCCACATGATGTAGGAAAATAAGCTATTAAGAGGAAGGGTTTATGAAGGCCGAGAAAATATTAGAGCAGAGATCAATTCTGAATTGTTGGCCCTGTCAAGATTTTTAACATCTAAAAGTGTCATTAATTCCCTTCTAATGAGTCTGACATTATTAAAATTATATGTTATGGTCAAGGAGAGTGTCATCATATTTGTCACAACATTAAGCAATGTTATCTTTTTTTGAGACTCCCTGAATTTCCTCACCTAAAGAGACTGTTACCCTGTACAAAACCCATCTCTAAGGCAAAGGCTGTATGGCCTCCTAACCATCAGTTCCAAATAATGGTAGCAATTTACAGCAACTTTCAATTCAATTTTGATGCAAAGCTTAGTCCTATTGTGTGAAAAAAAAGAAAACCAGAACGTAGAACAGTATGCACAACATGCTACATTTTGTGGGAACCCAAATTAACCCAAGTTAAAGGCAGTTTCTGACCTGTTCTTGGTTCAGTTTGATCACAAAGCTGAAGAGATTGAGGAAGAATGCTTCTCCTGGAATGTAAATTATTCAATAAAGAAGCCACTCATTTTAATCAGTTGTGAAGGCCAGGATTTAAAGCATAATAACACAAACAGTATGCCCATAATCCCTTGTTAACTTTTCCAGTCTCTATAGTAAGCACATTTTGGTGAGCATGACCTCTATGAAATACAACAATATGACTGAAAGGAAACAACACAAACTTTTCAGTGTTTTTGAAAAAGATTACTGTTATACCTGTGTTTTATTATAAATAACCAGGTTCTGTCATATTTTATCTTCTTGCCAGCAAATGAAGGACATCGTTTCATAAAGCTTCTAAAATGTACATGAATATTTAATTAAATCATATTTCCTTGAGAAAATAAAGTTCATTCGCATTTATAGCAGACAGTTGTGAGGAGTACATAATTGTCAGAAGACCAGGGTAGCCCGTACCGGTTGCTTGTGGAACAAAACTCCTCAATTTTTAAAACTTTTTTTAAAAAATAAACATACAATCATAAGTGTTCATTTACTTTAAAAATTCTAAAGATGAAGAAAATTATTGTCTATATATTTAAGTCCTTGTATAAATTACAAAACTCAAGTTTATGTTACAGAGTCCCTTCCCCATAGGAAGCATAAAGCACTTTTGTGGTACCTTTCACCAGTAAATATTTGTATCACATTGAATTTAACAAACAAAATAAAAGTCGATATTGCATCTTTAAGCCCCAAGAGAACATTCCTTTAAGCTGTCTCTCACGATGAATGAGCTTCAAAAGTCATTTGATTGCCACGATTTAACTCGATCTCGAATAAAGATATATAAAAGTAATACATAATTGACTTCAGTAGAAATCTGAAATATCAGTGAACTGCAGACTCTTCTTGCTTGAGGTCAAGAAACACCCTTTGGAAGACAACCAAGAGTAGTTTAAGACCAGGATAACAAAATAAAATTATAACAATAATAATTATAATAATAAAAATAACAATAATAAAATAAAAATAACAACAACCAACAATGAGGTAAACTCCCCTTTAAAAAGGCAGTATGTGTTGCCTGGACTGTCAGGAGAGAGTTCGATTATACCTGACACCCAAATGTTTTTCCAACCAGAGTTCGGCCAGTTGCATGGTTGAGGCAAAAGTACTTGCCTTGGATCCTAAACACATCTTATACTGCTTAGGGTCCAAGTTAGGGTCACAATGAACTGGATGGAAAATATGCACCACTCCTACTTCTTGGCTTCTGAAGGGCCTTAAGCCAGACAGAATGACTTTATTGTAGAGATCGACATCTTCCAGTCCCCAGCCTTGTATTGAGGTATCAAATCCACCTGCACCCAGAAGATCACTTTTATAAATACAGGTAATTCCATAGCCATAGTCTCTCCAAAATCCAGTCTTCTTTGAGAAGACAAAGTCATCGTCAGTGGGAGGATTTCCCCCATTGGTTACCTTTGGGTCATACTGGCTAAAGATGATGGGGTAGTACACCTGTTGTCCCTGAATTGTATTATCTCTGCATCGCTGGAGAAAGTCTCCCCTGAAGATCAAATCAACATCACAAAATAGCAGCAAAGTATCATTGTCAAACTGGGAAGAAGCCATTTCAAGACCAAGACCCCTGGAAAACTCTCCCTTCATTGGGATCAGGGTCATTTCTGCCTGAGGGTACCTGTTCTGGTATTCCTTTATCAGCTCAACATGCTTGCTGGAGTCTTGGCCAGAATCCCTACTGAAAAGGGTGATGACCAGCTTTACACTCTGCTTTGGAAGAAGACAAGTTTTTTCAAAGTTGTCCATAAATCTCAGGAAAATGTCATACCTTCCAATGAGAGGGACAAGGATGTGTATTTTCTTTTCATTGTGCCCTCCCATGTCTTTGGCACCTTGAAAAGAAGATAAAATCTTTAAAGAATTAGATATAAAGGAGAACGACTGAGTGTCGCTGTTAATGCTCTCCACAAGCCTGTTGACATCTAGCTCTTCAGTTTCTCTAAAGAAAGGCTTGCTGAACAACTGCTGAAGATACGCATGACGTCTCACTGGCACAGTCAGTTTCCTCCCCTTGTGTCTTTTATATAAGAGGAGTAAATCCAAAATGTACTCCACTCCATGCATGGGATCAACCCTGCGGTAGCCATACTGAATTTCCTTGAAGTCAATGAGCCGTCCCCTACTCTTGGCGTTTTCGTTGATCATCTCCATCACCTGGAGGACCGTGTCATCCAGTGCTGTTCTCAGGATGCTGTTGATGCTCTGTCGTGGAGGCTGGTTCTCAGATGCTGAGTAAAGGAGCTTCCCTGTCAGGAACTCCCATTCTATCACTTCATCTCTCTCCCGAGGCTGGAAGTGGTTGAAGGACGGCATCACTCCCAGCTGCTGGTCCTCCTTACTCACTTCACTGTTACTGAGCTTGCCCATCAGAGCACTCTCCCGGTGGAGCTGGATGGTGCGGTAGCGAAGTTCAGAAATTTTGCGGCTGAGCATGTAATTGTGAAGCCTGTATTGGTAGGCAGGCCTTTTGTTGGGGTGAAGTGTAATGGCTGCGTGGATTTTGCTGTTGTGAAGGTCTTGGATATAACCCTTCCGATTATGCTCATAATTTTCATGGAACAGTTGCTGCATCTGAAAAGTAAAAGAAGCTGAGATGTTAGAATAAATACAAAAAGAAATAAAGCAATAAATGAAAACCTCTAAATTTAAAATATTTAATAAAAATTACTCATATGGCATTTCATAACAAAAATGACTTGTAAAATTTATATTTAAAAGAAATGAAAACAGTTTTAAAATGTCAAATTCACACGCTCAAATACTGTAACCTAACCTCCCGTTATATACAAATACTGGGCACAAAAGTCCAGCTATGCATTCCAAAGTAAAGAATCTTTGTCCTTCTATTCCTTTTGAAATCAACCCAAAATATCAAAGAAAATAAGAATTGAATATACCCCAAGCCCCATAAAGGATCACTGTGAGGGAGAGGCGGTGTGGACAGAGCATGGGCTTTCCAAGATAGACAGCTTCCCCTGAGGAGTAAACCCTGTGACCTGTTGCTTGGAATGGCCGTACCAGACCCAGAGGAGACATAAGTTTTATTGAGCGTTCTGATACACCATCTTTAGATAGAGTAAATTCTTTTTTTCCCTTAAATTTTTCATACTTATTTATTTTTGAGAGAGAGAAAGAATGTGTGCATGAGTGGGAGAGAGGCAGAGAGAAAGAGAGATAAAGGGTCTGAAGCAGGCTCCAAACTGACAGCAGAGAGCCCGATGTGGGGCTCGAACTCATGAACTGGAAGACCTGAGCTGACGTCGGATGCCCAACTGAGTGTGCCACCCAGGCACCCCCAGAATAAGTTCTTGTTAAGGTAAGATGGAACAGAAATTCTATTGATCTATGCTAAAGGATCATGTCCAAATTCAGACATGTTTGACATCCTTATGAGCCAGAGGGTTTCTATGCTAGTATATAACAAGTTCACTATTTCAAATAGAAACGAAATGAGGAAAAATGTAGAGCTATGAAATCATACTTCAGACTGCCAGCTGACTCTTCCTTCTTTCTCAGTCAATAAAGAAACCTCCATTATACGCATTCAAGAGAAGGCCCATTGGAAAAGGAAAAGGAGGAGGAGGAGGAGGAGGAAGAGAAGGAGAGCTACCAGAGGCAGCAGGGACATGAGACAGCTGTAAGTATATTGATGAATAAAGATGAAAAGAATATTGCAAACTTATGAATACATATACAAAGCAAGCAAAAATTATAGACAAATCAAATAACTTAAGGAAAATACAATCTCCCTAAAATAAGAACTCAAGAAATAGATACATGAGCTTAAAGAAAAGAAATCAAATGAAAGATGATCACATTACAAGAACCCAAGAAAGAGAACTGTGGAAAACACAGGAGGAAGAGACTTGAGATAATTTAGCAAAATAATGGAAATGTCAATGAGAGGCTAAAAGTTTGGAGATATAAATCTTTGTATATATACGCATACACATATATAAATATAAATATTTATATACATTCAAAAGCTTGAATATATATTCAGTATACCTGGATATATATTTAAGAAGATAAAATAATATATGTAAAATATATCTATGGGACATGTTTCCCTTAAAACAGAGGCAGATATATATCTATGTGTCATTAGGCCAAGAAGAAAAAAGAGCAGAATGAACAAACAAAACCCACTTTGGCTCCAAGTAGGAAAAGAGCAAGTCTTGTCACAACATTTCCCATAGAAACATCAATGCTGAAAAACAGTAGAGTACAGCTGAGGAAGACCCCGAGGAAGCAAATTAATGACTAATTAATTTTTAGTCAATCAAGCTAGAGCTCATGTTTACTGTAAAAAATAACTAACTTCTATCATGTAAAAGAACTTGTGGCAGAAGAGTGGTGATAAATACTCTGACGCTCCTCCCATGGAGAGATAGGGTCTTTGTCCCTTTCTCTTGGCCCTCAGGGATTCTGTCACTAAAACTAAGAGACCACACTAGAGGTAACACTGTGCCAGTTTCTAGATTGGCAGCTTCCACTTCTTGTCTTTGGAACTCCCAATCTGCAGATGCCAGCTGTGAAGTCACAAGTCTGAGTTAGTTTCCTTGTTCTGATCCTAGACTCAGAGAAGAAGTTGTCAGTTTTCTCTCTTTAAGACGTTAGGTAAGTTCCTTTTTACTTCTAGTTTGCTAAGAGCTTTTATCATGAATGACATTTCAAGTTGATCAAAGGCATTTTTTCCTGCATCCTTTGAGAGTATTGTGTGACGTCTTTCTTTTTTCTTTCTCTTATGGTGAGTCACTACTCGAAATTCCAATATTAAACAACAATTTTATCCACTGACTAAACCCATCCTTTTCCTGATATATTATCTGTTTTATATACAGCTGGATTGTATTTGCAAATGTGTGTTTAAAATACGCTGTGAAATATCAATTCTCCTCAATTTGATATATAGGTTCAATGCAATTCAATACAAATTCCACCCTTTATTAAAAAGAAAATGTTGCTTTTGAGATTAATGGGAGGATTCTAAAATTTACATAGAAATGAGGGGTGCCTGGGTGGCTCAGTCGGTTAAGTGTCTGACTTGGGCTTAGGTCATGATATCACTGTTTGTGAGTTCAAGCCCCATGCTGGGCTCTGTGCTGCCCACTCAGAGCCTGGAGCTTGCTTTGGATTCTGTGGCTCCCTCTCTCTCTGGGCCACCCCCCCCTCCCCCCTCAGAGCTGCCCATGCTCTGTTTCCCTCTCTCAAAAATTAATAAACATTTAAAAAATAATAAAAAATAAAATTTATATAGAAATGAAAAGTCAAGGATATTCAAGACAATGTTAAAAAAAGATATGCCACAGATTAAAAAGTGATAGAAATTTATACAGTATGATCCTGATATAAGGATAAACAAATAGAACAAAGGACCAAAATAATCCATAAATAAACCTATACATGACTTATGACATCACTTGATTTACAACAAATAAAGACACTGAAGAGTGGAGAAGGGATGGTCTTTTCCGTCAATAATGCAAGGACAGTTGGATATTCATGTGGAAAAAAGGAAAAACTGATCCCTTCCCTCCCCCCACCCCCATATGGAAAAATCTATCCCAGACGGATTGTTGATGTAAATGTAAAAGTTTACCCAAGAAAATATCTGCGTGACTTTTGACTGGGTGAAGAGCTCTTAAATATGACACAAGATACCAACCATAAAAACAGATTGATGAATGGGACCACATTAAATGTAATAACTCTGTTCCTTAGAAACACTATTAGAAGATTATAAAGGGTAAATTATATACATTTTAAAAAAAGAATTCATACACACAAAGGTAAAGTCAGAGTGGGAGCAGACTTTTGTTTTTATTATTTTTTTTAATTTTTGAGACAGAGAGAGACAGAGCACGAGTCAGGGAGGGGCAGAGAGTGAGGAAACACAGAATCTGAAACAGGCTCCAGGTTCTGAGCTTTCAGCACAGAACCTGATGCGGGGCTGGAACCCACGAATCGTGAGATCATGACCTGAGCCGAAGTCGGACGCCCAACCGACTGAGCCACCCAGGCGCCTCGACATTTTTTAACAGATCTTATCTAACAGGACTAATACCCAGAATATGTAATGAACTTATACAAATTAGTAAGAAAGAAGGACAAACCCAGATGAAAAATGGGGTTAAAAAAAACCCAAACCCAAACCCTTAATGGGCGCTTCCAAAAGAGAATATGCAAATGCCCAATTAACATACAAAAACATTCTCTAACTCATTCATCATCAGAGTAATGCAATTTAAAGTAATAATGTGATAACATTACAGACCTACAAGAATGCCTGAAACTAAATGCATTGTCAGGATTTGGAGCTCTCCTACATGGGTGATGAGGTTGTAACTTCGTTCAACCCGTGTGGAAAATGTATCAACTAAAATGACCACACACATTTCCTAAGATTCAGTAATTCTACTCTTAGTTACTTACATACCCAATATAAATACATCCATCCATACACCTAAATATATATATACACGAATTTTCATACCAGCATTATTCACAATACTCCCAACTGAAACCAACCCAAATGTGTATCAAGAGTAACATAAGTTAATGTCATATATTCATATAATAACAAATGATAGCTCAATTAAAATAAATGCACTACTATACAATGTGGACAAATCTCACAAACAAATGAAACAAGACATACAGAAAAGAATACATTTTATTTGACTCTATTTACATGGAATTCAGAAACAGGTAAAGCTAACCTAGGCTATTAGCTGTTAGAACAGTAATAAAAATTCAAGAAAGAGAGCAGGGAGCTCTAGAGTGCTGCTAATGTCCTATTTGTTGATCTAGCTCATGGTGACATGTACATATTCTATTTGCGAGCATTCATTGAAATGTTACTTAAGGTATGTTTGTCTTTTATAGTCCAATTAATAAAAGGTTTTATTTTCAAATTTTGATATACATGTATGTAGAATTAGGTAGGTTTTTCTGATATGTATGTATATAAATATGTGTGATGTTGTGGGTGGAGGGGAAGAAAGGAGGGGGGAAGACAGAGAGACAGAGAGAGAGAAAGGGAGGGAGAGAGAGAATATAAATCATAGAAGTTTTCCTATAGAAGGTCACCTAAAAGGGGTAGGATGCATATGATAGCAGTTTCTTTATCTCCAGTATTTCAACTGAGATATTCAGCTTTTCAAATCACCATCATATGACTCTGAAGAATATAACAGTGGATATTTTGAGAAGGATTTTGGACTTGATTCAAAACACATTTTAACTGCATCCATTCTTTTCCCTCAAAACACATGGCAATATTTATTTAACATTCTGATTGATGAGAAATCAAATTAAATCCATAATTTGCAGTGAGCTGTTATATCTCCATTTTTGTGGTATTATTATTTTTAGCTGAAATTGCTTTCAATATTTTATTTAATTTTTTTGTTTTTATGCAAGAAGGTAAAAAAATATTTCAGATCACATATGAATGACTATACACTCTGTAAAAGGTACTGGCTACATGAAACTATTCTTTCTTAAGGCATGCTTTATAGTACTAAGAAGAAGGGGCAATGCTCAATTAAACAGGAAACAATGTTCAG